CAGAATATTAGAAAGTAACCAAAGGCTTACAGCAATTCAAAGGGCATTTATTCAAGGAAAAAATGGCTCATAACAAGTGATGATTAAGTTAGTAATCAAGGAAACTTCCCACAAAGAAGCCCCAGGACTCAATGGCTTCACCGGTGAGTTCTACCAAATGTTTAAAGAATAATTAATTCCAATTCTTCACAAGCTCTTCACGACAAAATAGAAGAGGTACGAATGCTTCCCAGCTAGTTCTTTGAGGCCAGTATTACCCTGATTCTACAACAAGCCAAAAACATGATGAGAAAAGAAAACTACAGACTAATATCCTTTATGAATACAGATGCGAAAATTCTCCGCAAAACACTAGGAAACAGAATCCAATAACACATAAAACATATGAACAAGTAGGATTTATCCCAGGAATGCTTCCCAGCTAGTTCTTTGAGGCCAGTATTACCCTGATTCTACAACAAGCCAAAAACATGACAAGAAAAGAAAACTACAGACTAATATCCTTTATGAATACAGATGCGAAAATTCTCAGCAAAACACTAGGAAACAGAATCCAATAACACATAAAACATATGAACAAGTAGGATTTATCCCAGGAACGAAAGATGAGTTTGACATATAGAACTCAACCACAGAATACATCATATTAATAGAATAAAGAACAAAAAAACATATGATCATCTGAACAGATGCAGAAAAAGCATTTGACAAAGTCCAGCACCCTTCTGTTATAGAAACATTCAACAGTCTAAGAAACTATGGAACTTCCTCAACCCAATAAAGGTTATGTATGAAAAATCCACAGCAAACATCGTACGTAATGGTGAAAGACTGAACGCTTCCCCTAAGATGAGGAAGAAGACGTGGATGCCTGCTTTTGTCACTTTTATTCAGCATAGTTTTGGAAGTTCTAGCCAGAGCAATTAGGCGAGAGAAAAAAAAAAAAACGTATCCAGACTGGAAAGGAAGAAGTAAAACTATCTGTATTTGCACATAAAATTATCTTGTATGTGTAGAAAATCATAAGGATTTATGATTCAATAAATAAAAAAAATTATTCCAACTAATAAACAAGTTTAGTAAGGTTGCAGAATACAAGATCAATATGCACTAGCAATAAACAATCCAAAAATGAAACTAAGAAAACGATTCCATTTGCAATAGCACCAAAAAGAATACATAATTAGGAATAAATTTATCAAAACAATGACAAAACTTCTACACCGAAAATACAAAAAATTATTGAAAGAGATTGAATAAGACTTAAATAAATGAGAAGACATTCTGTGTTCATGGATTCAAAGACTAAGTAGTGTTAAGATGGCAATACTACCCAAATTGATCTACAGATTCAATACAATCACTATAAAAATCCCAGCTGAATTTACTGCAGAAATTGACAAACTGCTCCGAAAATTCATATAGAAATACAAGGGACCCATAATAATTAAAATACTCCTGAAAAAGAAGGTCAACCATAGAGGAGGTCTCATATCACCCAATTTCAAAACTTACTACAAAGGTGCAGTAATCAAGACTGCGTGGCCTAAGGACAGACATGTAGATCAGAGGAACAGAATTGAGAGTCCAGAAATAGACACATATGTTTGGTCAACTGATTTTCTTTTTTTTTTCCTTTTTGTCTTTTTTACTGACCGGCAATGGGATCACAACCCTCGGTGTTGCGCCCGCACCGCGCTCAGCCAGTGAGCGGGGACCGGTCTCCACATGGGATCCGAACCCTCAGTGGGAGCGCCTCTGCGCTCCCAAGTGGCGCACTCTCCAGTGCGCCACCGGGCCGGCCCGTGGTCAACTGATTTTCAACAAGGGCACCAACACCACCCAATAAAGAAAGAATAATCTATTCTACAAATGGTGCTTGAACAACTGGCCACATATAAAAGTATTAAGTAGAAGAAACCCTACCTCACAAAAAAATTGAAATGGATCAAAGATCTAAATGTAGGACCTGAAATTATAAATCTCTTAGAAGAAAGATAGGTGTCAGTTATTGTGACCTTGCATTAGACTATGGTTTCTCAGATACGACACAAATCACAAGCAACCAAAAAAAAAAAAAATAGATAAATTGAACTTCATCAAAATTGAAAAGTTTTGTGCTTCAACACTATCACAAAAGTGAAAAGATAACCTAAATAATGGGACAAAATACTTACAAATCTTATATCTGATAAGGAATTAATATCCACAGTATATAAAAAAAACTCTTACAACTCAATTACAACAAAAAAAATTCAAAAATAGGCCAAGTACTTGAGTAGACATTTCTCCAAAGATGATATACAAATGGCCATAGAGCATATGAAAAGATGCTCAACGTCATTGGTCATTAGAGAAATTCACATGGAAACCACAATGAGATACCACTTCACATCTACTAGAATAGCTGTAAGAAAAAACACCGACAATTATAAGTGTTGGTGAGGCAACTGGAACCCTTGTATATTGCTGGTAGGAATGTAAATGGTGCTGTCACTTTGGAAAACAGTGTGGCAGTTCCTCAAAATGTTAAACGTAGTTACCATATGATCCAGACATCTTACTGCTAGTTATATACCCAAGAGAACTGACATACATGTTCACACAAAATTTGTACGTGAATGTTCATAGCACCATTTTTATAATAGCCAAAAATGGAAACAACCCAAATGTCCGTCAAATGGTAAATGGATAAACAAAAATGTGGAATATGCATTAGAATATTATTCAGCCATAGAAAGGAATGGTGTATTGACATATGCTGCAACATGGATGGACCTTGAAAACTTGCTAAATAAAAGGCAAACAGAAATGACCACATAATGTATGTTCTATTTATATGAAATGTCCATAATAGGCCAATCCATGGAGACAGAAATTAGGTTGGTGGTTTCCAGGGGGGTGGAAGGGGCAGGAGTAACTGCAATGGTACAGAGTTTCTTTTTGAAGTGATGAAAATGTTCTAGAATTAGTGGTGATGGTTGCATAGTTTTGTGTGTACTAAAAATCGCTGAACTGTACACTTCAAAAGGATGAGTGTTATGGTATGTGAATTACATCTCAGTTGTCTGTCTAATGAATCTGGCATGTGGTTAAGACATGCCAAGGGACGGTCAGTAGAAGACACGTCACGTCTCTGCTCTTCCTGCATGGCCCTGGTTCCAATCATGTCTAAAGTACATCACTGCAACAGCCTTCCACTTGTTTTCTCATCCCGGATAAAATGACTAGTATCAAAAAGACAAAAAACAACAATTGTTGGCGAGGATGTGGAAGAAGGGGAGCTCTTCTACACTGTTGGTGGGAATGTAAATTAGTGCAGCCATTATGGAAAACTGTATGAAGATGACTCAAAAACTGAAAGTAAAACTACTACATAATCCAGCAATCCCACTGCTGGGCATATACCCAAAGGAAAGGAAACCAGTATGTCTAAGAGATATCTGCGCTCCCATGTTCCCTGCAGCATTATTGCAATCCCACTGCTGGGCATATACCCAAAGGAAAGGAAACCAGTATGTCTAAGAGATATCTGTGCTCCCATGTTCACTGCATTATCGCGCTCCCATGTTCCCTGCAGCATTATTCACAACAGCCAAGATGTGAAATCAACCTAAGTGTCCATCAGCGGATGAGTAAAAGAAATGTGGTGTCCACAGTGGAATATCACTCGGCCATAAAAAGAGTGAAATCCCATCATTTGCAGCCACATGGATGAAATTGGAGGTCATGAAGTGAGCCAGGCACAGAAAGACAAATACACATGATCTCCCTCATTTGCAGAATCTCAGAAAGTGTGGTCGCCAGAGGCTGGGGGAAGGGGCGGGAGGGGGTGGGGGAGTGAAGAGAGGTTGGTCAGTGGACACTAGGAACAGGGACGTTGGAGGAATCGGTTCTAGCATTCCAGTACACCGTGGGGTGACTATGGTTGACAATATATCATATATTTCAAAATAACAAGAAGAGGGGATTTTGAATGTTCTCACCACTAAAAACTGATACATATATCTGAGGTGACGGATATACCAATTACCCTGATTTGACTATGATACACTGTACACATTTACTGCAACGTCACACTGCACCTCACCCCCAAACCCTGCCGATGTCACTCAGTTTAGAAGTTTCTCCCTGTCCGTCCGTGTATTAATCATGCCCTTTTATTTTCTGTATTTTGACATCTGGGGCCTTGCTGGTTCTAGAGAGACTGTCCCTTCCATGGCGAGCCAATTCCTAAAGACAGTGACGGACTTGCCTGCAGGTGTGGCTTTCCTGTGCAAACTTTTTAATCCAAAACCCATGGCCCCCAACCACCTCCTTTATCTAGGTCTTACGCTCCGGGCCAGGATCCATCTGCCCTCGTCAGCTGAGGGCCAGACACCAGGCAGCTAGAGACAGCTCCTACACCCCACAGCCCACGGAATTTATGCAAACCAAGCCAGTGCTAAACCAGCCCACCCTGCCTCCCCTTACCTTTCCCGGGGCAACCACAATAAAGGTGCCTGCCATGTCCTCTCCTGCTCCCTGTGCCTCCTGACCCTCGTGGCCCTGCACGGCACACCACGCCTCCTGCTTCTGGGGACCCGTGTGTAGGAACGTCTTCCTCCACGACAGTCGTTTCTGTGCCTGCCGGCTGACCGCCCCTGGTGGAAGCACAGCCTGCGTGCATGTTAAGGCCGCAGCCTTCCAGTCTGCTTCTCTCTGCCACCCACCTCCTCGGTCCCCCTGATGCCTCTGAGCGTCCGCCGCCCCACGCCGCTCCTACTCCTACAAAGTAAGGACCACGGCTCTTCCTCACTGGATCTCCCGGCAACTCAGAAATGTAGGAATTCACCTTTAGTGTAAGAAATGTCCCCAACAGGCGCGTGAGCTGCCCAAGGCCCGAGCCCTTACTGTCTGGGTCCTCCAGGGGACGAGCACGCGGTCGGCCCCGGCAGGAGCTCCCCAGCGACCCTCGCAGGGCCCGGTGGGGGGGCGGGGCGGGCCCGGCCGTCACTCACGCTGCTCCGCCCACGCGCGCTGCTCCTCCGCCCCGGCCGCGCCGTGCAGCTGGGCCTGCTGCTTCAGCGTCTGGAACAGGCGCCTCGCCCTCTGCTCCTCCTGGACGCGAACCTGCTCGTGTCCTCGCCTCCTCTCCTCTTCCTCTTTCCTCTGGAATGTCATGGGAACAGACAGACGTTAGGAGACCGGACACGAGAAGGGCCTCTGCACTCTTGCAGAGAGGCAGGTCTGAGCTGTCTCGGGGTGGGCGGGCCAGGGTCCCCACTCCAGCCACAGTCCCCTCACAGGTGACATGGCCACCGTCCCTCCCATCCGACCAGGCGCTGGTAAGATCAGACGGGCTGAAATATGTGGCACAATCTGCAAACTCTAAAGCTTGCTGCACACATAAGAGGACTCCAGGCCACTCCTCGAGCACGCTTCCATCTGGGGGAGAGGGTGGAAGGTGCAGGGGAGGCTGCCTGGTCCTCCTGGAGGCCATGCAAGCAGGTGTGATCATGCCTTAACCTGAAGCCTGGATAAGAGACTTCAGAGAGAGAGCAGGTTTGCGGACCCTGAATCTCCTGTTTCTATCCCACTTTTAAGCTCCAGAAAGGGTGTGTGCGCGTGCGTGCGTGCGTGCGTGTGTATGTGTGTTCTTCTGTCATTGTTTGCATCAAAGCAACATGTATATGTTAAACACACATTATGAGCCAGAGACTTCTAACAAAAACCAGCAGTTCCCTGAATCACTTCACACCGACCCGACCAAACCAATCCTAGGCCGGTGCCCAGAGGCGCCACTTCAGCCATTTCAGCTGTGCCTTTGTGTGGCTACATCTCTATGTCTGATGAGTGCTGCTAATTCTTGATTTATTAATTCTAGACATTAAATACTGTCTTCCGTTTTTGGTACATGAGTATTTAGCACTTATATTTCCCCCAGAGGTAAACATCCATACTTTTCCTCTCATCCTCACAATAAATTTACATCACAACATGTGGTTAAATCAATAATTAGTATAAGTATAGTTCACTGCAAAGCCAAATAGGGTGGTGCTATTTTCACCAATTCCAAAAAGTACATTTTTAAATTTTTTAACATCTCCGAAATTTGGGTGTGTCTTACAGCTTTCACTTTGTCTTTTTAATAGACAATAATGTTTTCTCTCAAAATAATAATGCGTTTTTGCAATTAGTGGCACCTTAAATTCAGTAAAATATGGTAGTATGACAACTTTTTCTTTCCAAAAAATTTGGTTTTTTCCTGGCTTAATAATTTTTTTTATCTTGAAGTTGAATGTTGAATTTTCCCAAACTTCTCTCAGATGTAGTAAACCTTTCTCTGTGTTTAACCAAGTGCTTCTCCTTACAACGAATAACACAGCAGCCATCTTACTTCCAAGGGACACCCTGCCCCACGTGCCATCTCTTCTTCTCCAGTCTCCAGGGGTTGCTACCGAAGTCTCCTCTCAGTCCACTCTCCTGAGACCACCTCTCAGCTTCCCTGCGTTGGAGCCCCTGTTTCTCTGTTGGCCACTCCCTCATTTTGCAGCAATATATCCTACGCTATTTGTCAGGTAAGGATGCACAGAGACACTTGCTGAGCCTTTACTTGTCTAGAAATATCTATGTGCACCTGCTAATTTAACTGAGCATACAATGTAATTAAAAATCCTTTTTCGGGGGCCGGCCCGGTGGCGCACTGCTACAGTGCGCCGCTTGGGAGTGCGGCGGCGCTCCCGCCGAGGGTTCGGATCCCACATACAGACCGGTTCCCGCTCACTGGCTGAGCGAGGTGCGGGCGCAGCACCGAGGGTTGCGATCCCGTTGCCGGTCCTGGTCCGGTACGGGCGCGACACTGAGGGTTGCGATCTGTTGCCGGTCACGAAAAAAGACAAAAAGGAAAAAAAAAATCCTTTTTCATGGGATTTGGGAGACTTCCTTGTGTTCTAGCATTGAGTACTGCCACTGATTTTCATTCTTCTGCACAAGGCATTCATTTTTTTCCTCTGGGAGCCTTTCGGGTTTCCTCTTTATCACTGACGTTCTGAGCTTTTTTTAATAATGTGCTTTGGCGTGGCTTTGCTTTCATTCACTGTGTGGGGCACTTAGGGGTACTTTCAGTCTGAGTTCTTATCTTTCCAGAGTAATACATGTTTGTGTCGGATTTCTTTAATAATTTCTTCCCTCGTTTCTCTTTTTTTTTTTTCAATGGTGGCTGGCCAGTGTGGGGATCCGAACCCATGACCTTGGTTTCACCAACACCACACTGCCCGGTGAGCAACCAGCC